CATACATAAGGTGTTCACTACTTAGGGTCAAAGGTCACATAGGGATCTTTAGGCTATAAAACCACAACATTTAGTAAAGACTACTTCTGCAACAAATAACAGAGACCAGTCTTGTCATTTGCATGCATTGGCATAAATCAGCGTCTCTATAGTCTTTAGGAGTTTGAGGCTAAAGGTTATTGAACATAGTTTTTTTATTTCCTAGATATATTTTTTATTCCTTATGTACTGTTCTGAATTATTGCTATTTTTGTTTGAAGATCTTTTAGTCAGCTTTAGAGCTTTCATTGAGAAATATTTTTAAAGAAATATAATATATGGATTAAATTGATTTTCAAAAATATCATACAAATGTTGCAACATTAGTCAGATGTAGGCCTACGTATGTATACATAGTTTCTTTTACGGATGAATTGAAACATAAGCCTACCCTTTCCTTTTGAGACAAGTTTAATAGTATTGTGCTATTGTACATACATTAAGCCAAATATTGTGTGTTTATTTGACCGGATCAGCACACAACTAAACATTATGACGTGTCTATTATGCCGCTGGTTGAACCTATAGGCCTATAGTCAACTCTCCCAATACCGACCACCCAGAAAACCAGATTTCACGCAAAACCGGTCGTTTTTTAAAGTCCCAAAATCATTCCTAGTCTTACTGTATTAACATACTTTCTGAAAACCGGATCTCCCAATTCCGAATTCCGGCCAAGTTCTTAAGTCCGCAACAATAAAATTACCTTCTAAAAACCGGACGGCCAGTTTAAAACGATGATTTATTGACGAAATATGTTAAATAAATCATGGGAGACACATCGACTGACTCCAAATAACAACTATCAATCACAGAACAACACCAATAGCGCATTAATTAATTAATTGCAATAAGACTAGATTTCATTTGTTTAATAAACTGATAAAAAAAAAGCTCATGAGTGTATTTTCTTTATTAAGGAACGTATCCTTTTCTCACATTTTGCATTCATTCTCACGCTAAGGCAAACCAAGAGGTCCCAACATAAGGCTATCGATTTCATAAAAACAATTGCGCATGACACTTTCTATTGGCTGACGAAGTTTAGGGGGCGCTGCATAAGTTAGCACTTATTTTTAGCATTCAGTGACCAACCAAGGTTATGCCAGCGGCATCGAAAACCAATAAAGCGTGCAACCACGTTGAATCGAATAAGATTATGGCGATCGAACGAAAAATAACACTGACACTTATTATAAATTACGATACACATTAAGTTGATTTGTGTAATTTTTTATTGATAATTGACAACATAAATAATGTAAAAATAAAGTAAAACATGAATGACGTTCTCAGGTGAGTAGGCCTACACAGTACATGATGCAGTGTGGTGTACCTATCTATTAGGCCTAGGCTTATTATCGACTCAAGGTCGGGGAACCAAGGTAGGTAAACGTGACGTTCTCTAAACCGGTCCGTCCGGTAAACCGGTCAAAGTGGACGGTCCGAATGGTGGTCGGTATTGGGAGAGTTGACTGAATCGATCAACTCGTTCGTGTTATATGGGATTTTTTTCAGCACATCCTTATTCCATTGTAAAAACATACTTCAAGTTCTGAAAACTATTGCTGAATCTATATTAATAAACGCTGAATTAGTAGATGTAAGTATGTTGAATTCTTGCATGTACTACTGTAACAGTACTGTATTCCGTAGTTTCACTGATACGATATACATAATATTTTCTGTATTTTAGCAATGTTTCAGTTTTAAACCTTGTACATTTACTTTGAAAAACTTCTTTTCTGTCCTTAGCAAGTCCGTCATTACAACTATGTTTTATTTGCCTTTCAATACTTTTATATACCCACATTTATTTAATTTACAATATTGCTTTGTATAATTTTATATATATATATAATTTTTTTTTCATAGCCGCTTCCTGTTCTTGGTTTTAGTTGTGCCTTATGTTTAGCTTATCCATTAACCATGGATGAATTAATTCCTCCATGCATTAACTATAGTAATGCTTTCCCACAGTCCACCACTTGCTCATTCATTGTTCACCCTTATCACTGTTTATTTGTTCATTATCATCAATCCTTTATAGACGTATACCGACTTGCTTTGACTTAATTACCGTATTGTTTCTCAAATTGTATATTGCTAAGATAGTTTCTCAATATGTTCATTTTATGTCAAGCGTTGACAAAGACTACAGGAGTAGCCGAAATATTCGCCTAATAAATTTTAGTGTTTCTAAAGTCAACATCTTACGTATTTGA